CACAGGCTGGCAGGATGGCTTAAGCAGACAAATTGCTGGAGGCTGAGTGTGAGAGCCAACGACTGGGGACCATAGTCTTGGGGGCACACTTTTGTAGTTTTTTTCAGGACTGGGGATTAAAGCCAGGGGTGCTCTGTCATTACATCCCAACCCTTTTTATTTTTTATTGTGACATAGGGTCTCCTGAATTTCAGACTGGCCTCCAACTTGTGATTCTCCTGCCTCAGCCTCTTGAGTCCCTGGGATTACAGAGCGAAAGAAAAACCCCATCAGCAGGCACAGTGGTGCATGTGACTTGGGAGGCAGGAGGGTCACAAGTTGGAGGCCAGCCTGAGCAACTCAGAAAGACCTTGACGCAAAATAAAAAATAAAAAGAGCTGGGGATGTAGCTCCGTGGTAAAGCACCCCTGGGCTCAATCTCCTATGTTGCAGAAAAGAAGAAAAAAAAAAGAAAAGAAGAGAAAGTAAAACCTGCATGAACCCAGAAGTCTGTATCTAGCAAAATTATCCTTCAAGAGTAAAAAAGAAATGAAGACCTTCCCAGAAAAACAGAAGTGGGAGGATTCATCTGCTGGTGAGCAGATCTGTCCTACAAAAAACGGTTAGAAGTTCTTCAAGTGGAGCAGCACTGCTGTGGGTCAGACGCTCAGCATAGGGACACGAGTGAGGAACAAGCAGTCGGGTGGGGGTGGGGTGGGGTGGGGTGGAAACAATCTGATAAGTTAGTTGCAGGACACCTGAAGTGGCATTGTGTGATTTGAAAGTGGATTTACATTAGTCAAAAATGTATATTCCCAAGTTGGGGGGTAAACTCAGTGGCTGAGCACTTGCCTAGCGTGTACAAGGCCCTGGGTTCAATCCCAGTAGAAAAAAAAAAAAGAAGTATATTTCCTCTGTATTGTCCCCCATGTTTAAATAATTAAAATTTTAAAATATTAAAAATTCTAAAATTTTTAAAAAAATTATAGTTATAGGTGGACACAATACCTTTATTTTATTCATTTATTTTATATGGTGCTAAGGATCGAACACTGTATCTCACGAGTGCTAGGCAAGTTCTCCACCACTGAGCCACAACCTAGACCCTAAAATTTTTATAAAATTTAAAGTCTATTAATAAAAAATACTACAAAACAACCTGAATATTGCACATTCTTAGACAACTTCTATAATAATTTTTAAAGTTTTTTTGGGGACTTTGGTTGCTCTTTGCTATACAGGGGTTCATCCCCCAGCTCTTGAGTATGCTAGGCAAGTGCTCCACCACTGAGCCACACCCCCAGGCCTTTTATCTTATTTTGAGACAGGGTCTTGTTCAGTTGCCCAGGCTAGCTTCACACTTGTGATCCTCCTGCCTCAGCCTCCTGAGTTGCTACAGACAACCATGTGCTACTTGTAACTGACTTGAAATAGTATTTACAAAGTCATTTGGGCTGCACACCTGTAATTTCAGAGACTCGGGAGGCTGAGGTGGAAGGATTACAAATTTGAGGCCAGGTTCAGCAACTTAGCAAGGCCCTAAGCAACATAGTGAGACCCTGGCTCTAAATAAAATATAAAAAGGGCTGGGGAGGTGGCTCAGCGACTGAGCATCCCTGGGTTCAATCCCCAGTACCAAAAAAAACAAAAAGTCATTTGGGCCCGTAAAGCCTGCTCTCCACCCATCCTGACCTGGACTGGCATAAGAAGGACACCAGCCCTACTTCAGATTTCCCAAGTGACCCCATACAAGACTCTTCTCCCTTCAGCCTCAGTTTCCCCATCTCCTGAATGGGACGGAGTCACTGCTGGCCAGTCTGGTTTCCCAACCCCTGGTCACAAGAGCCACATGAAGTCATGAGGGTCCAGCACCATTGCCCACATTTCCAGGACACACAAGCCAGACAATCACCAGCACCTCTCTAGCCAGACTCATGGGCACAGGCACATGTGCACGGCTTCTGCAGACCAGATGCCTGCTAATTACATGGTGGTCAGCATCTTTTCCAGAAAGACAGGCAGGGCCTCGGGACAGCCTGTCCACCCACTGGGCAGCTCTTGCCCCATCCTGAGGGCAACAGCCAGGCATTGGTTGGTCCTTTCTCCCTAGCCAGGCCTCCTCTGGCCACTCCTGGCCCCAACGGGAGCATGTGCCAGGACTGCGTGCCGGAGAGTAAACTGTCCTGCCCGGCCACCCTGGCAGCTGGACTCCCTGCACCATGTGTATCAAGGCTGGGCAAGGCCTGGGGCCAGCAGAGGCCAGAAGCCCTGGACCACAGCCCAGGGCTTTCGTAAACATTTCACAGCCATGGAAAATTACCAGGAACAGAGGAAGGAACTCCAAGACTCTTTTCTGGATTTCGTCGATGGTAAAACTCAACCACGTTCCCTTCAGATGTCCGAAATCATTTCTAAAACATGAGGAGTTGATCTCTGCTGCGTGCACTGGGTTTTTGTATTTCAGAATACTGGGTTTGGGTCCTGGCTCTGCAAGTCACTAATTCTGTGGCTGTGGACAGGTCACTTAACTCTCTGTATCTTGACTTACTCATCTGGGGTCATTAAATGAGGCTGTTAGAAATATGCCTAGCCAGTGTGGTGGCGCACCTGATCCCAGTGACTGGGGAGGCTGAGGCAGAAGGATCGAGTTCAAGGCCAGCCTCAGCAACTTAGTAACACCCGTCTGTCTCAAAATAAAAATTTTAAAAGGGAGCAGCTCAATGGTAGAGTGCTTGGCCAGCATGTATCTAGTACCTGGGTTCAATCCTCAGCCCTGGAGGAAAAAAAAGAGCTCTCATGCTGAACTTTTCTTTTTGTGACTTGCTTCTGTCCCCTCAATCTGCTGGTGTTTGAGATTCATCGGTGCTGATAAGGACAGGTCAGTTGCAATCCTCCTGCCTCATCCTCCTGAGCCACTGGGATCGTAGGTGTGCTCCACGGCTTGCCCAGAGTGCCCATTGCCACTGTCCTGCAGAGCCGGCAAATCACCAAAGAACAGCCTGGGCCACCCCGAAGACCCGCTTGAATACCACCTCGCTGGTCTCCTTTTAAAACGTCTATTTTTTTTTGGGGGGGGGTAGACAACCAGGGATGAACTCAGGGGCACTTGATCACTGAGCCACATCCCTATTTTGTATTTTATCTTGAGACAGGGTCTCACTGATTTGCTTAGCACCTCACTGTTGCTGAGGCTGGCTTTGAACTTGCCGTGCTCCGGCCTCAGCCTCCCAAGCAGCTAGGATTACAGGTGTGCACCACTGAGCCTGGCCAACAGCTATTCTTTAAACTTGGGGAAAAAAAAATAAGAATGGAAGGCAGAGGTGGGGGTTGACGGAAGCCCAGTGCTGTGCCCAGGGCTTTGTCCTGCACCCCACAGGCCTCACACGGGCGCCACAGCACACAGGAGCAGCCTGGCCCAGGCCCAGGCCCCAGGGCCCACGAGAACCGGGAGAAGGTCCTTTCCCCCAATGCTGCCCCACCCTGCGTGCCCGCAGGAACCAGGGCACGGTTCTTCCTGGCTCTCCAGAGGCCTTGCTAGATTTCTGCCACCCCCATGATGGCCCTCCCCGTCTCCTCCACCTCCTGGACAGCCGGGTGCCCGTGCTCTGCCCATCACATGCAGAAGGAGAAACTGAGACACATGGAGGCAATGGTGATTCTGAGTCATAATGGGGTCAGAAACCACTAGGACTTGAATCCAGGGCCGGGGCCCTGAGGGTGAAGGCCTCAGCATAGTTGGCGCCAGGGGAGGGCTGGAACCCAGGGCTTCTAGTTCCCAGGCCAGTCTGTGGCCCAGACCCTGAGACCAATGCACAGCAGGACTTGGCTCCAAGACAGTCTTACGAAAGCACAAGGTGACTGTGTGAAAGTGCATCCAGAAACTGGGCAAGCAGTGGAGCACACCTAGGATCCCAGTGGCTCAGGAGGATGAGGCAGGAGGATGGCAATTTCAAGGCCAGCCTCAGCTACTTAGTGAAGCCCTAAGAGAGACCCGGTCTCAATTTTTTTTTTTTTTAAAGGGGCTTGTGCCTGGTGCAGTGGTGCACACCAGTGATCTCAGTGGCTCATGAGGCTGAGGCAGGAGGATCCAGAGTTCAAAACCAGTCTCAGCAATGGCGAGGTGCTAAGCAACTCAGCAAGACCCTGTCTCTAAATAAAATATAAAAAAGGGCTGGGGATGTTGCTTCGTGGTCGAGTGCCCCCGAGTTCAATCACCGGTATCAAAAAAAAAAAGTGGGGGAGGCTGGCAATACAGCTCTGTAATTATGCACCCCTGGGTTCAATCCTTAATTCCACCCAAAAATTCATTTATAAATATGCGATTATTCTGAAGGCCAAACATCAAAGCACAGCCAGTCTCCTGCCCCCAGAAGCCAGCCTGTGGGTCCCGCAGCAGGGAGCTTGCGCTCTGTCCACCAGAGCCCTCCTAGGCTGCCTCCTATCTGAGGACCCTTCTCCAGTTGAAGAAATGAACCAACGAATGAATGAATGAATGAGAGGAGTCGGCACTGCAGGGAGGGTGGAGAGGTGGAGGGAGAGCCCAGCTCTCCTGCCAATCCCAGGACCAGTGAGGTCCCGACAGGAGCCCCCACAGTCCAGCTCCCTCCCGTTGTGACCCAGACAGGGAAACCAAGGCCCGAGAGGAGGTGCTCCCCTGGGAGGCTCCCTGGCCCACAGCTGGTTTTCCCTGGGACTGTCCTGGGCTTCTGGATGCTTCCCCCTCATCCTCCTGCCCCCCTCCCTTGAGCACATTCTCCCCGAAACCTGGGTCACCATCTGAGGACCACAAAAAATGGGGACCTACTTCCAAAATAACCCCTGGAGGGAAGCCAGGGTGGGGGTAGGATGCACAGTTGGCCTTGAGTCGATAAGGGAGCGTGACAGGGACGCAGCATTACCTGGCCCTCTATCCTGTGGATGTTTAAAGCTTCCTGTTAGAGACTGTTTGAAAAGTCAATTAATCAATAAAAAGAAACAAATAAGAGACGATACACCCCCACTGGGGAAAGCCGGCCTCTCACCTCAGCCTCCTCTTCCTCCAGCTTGCTGCCAGCCTCTGGCTGAGGCACAGTGAGGCATCGTCTGACCAGGAGCCAGCAGCCACCCGCAGCTCCGCGGCTCTCAGGAACACACCCTTCAGCCCAGACGCCCCGAGATGCAGGCTGCAGGCGGTCTCTCCTGACATTCCCTCTGTGCTGTTCTGGAGAACACCACTTTCTCCGTGCTCTTCATGGAGGCTGGGGCCTCACAGGGTGCCATGGTCACTTCAAGTCCGTCTAGAGATTCAAGGCATGATTCTGCATGCTAAAGGCCCTGAGAAGTCCTGCAGCTGACGCCTGGTTCCCTTATGCTTGGGTAAGATGTATTTTCCCAGCACATCTGGATCGCTGTTCTGGGCTAAGCCTAAGTCATCAGGATGCCATTTCCTCGAGCAGCCGGCGGAGATGGGGAGGAGTCACATCTCCCGTGGCCCCTGCCCGCCTCCCAGCCCCGGCAGAGGTTTGTGCACAGGCAGGTAACCAAAGGCTCCTGTGGCCAGAAGCCCTGGGACAGACGTGCTCTCTGGGCTCCGTTCCCCATGGCCTCGAGCAGACTGTGCAAGCACCTGCCGTCAGGGAAGGCCCGACACTGACGCTGACCCCAACCCGCACGCCACCCCAGGAGGGGTCAGTGGTGGCTTTGGTCCTGTGCCAACCTCCCTGGCTGACTCGCTCCAGGGCTCTTCCCAGACGCGGGGACTTTCCGACCCTGTCCTGGATGTGGGAGGACGTGGAAAATGCTAACCAGGACACCAGAAGGCCGGTTTCCAAACCCAAATTCTGGGGGAAATCCTAGCATGTGGACGCCCAGCTGGACACGGCTGCCACTTTACAGATGGGAAGGCTGAGCGGCCTGCTCTCCGGAGTCCAGCAAGAAGGGTGGCTCTGGAAGCAGGGCAGGGCCCGGAGTCCGTGGACACAGCTGCCCCACCTAACAACCCTGGGCTTGGTAAGCAGGTCCAGCTCACCAAAAAAACACGTGTCAAGGTCTCGACTGCCCCACTGCCCCCCAGGCCCTCCACAGCGCCCTGTGTGGCCCCCATGGGGGGTTAGCACCCCATCTGGGCTTCAGGGAGTCCCTGGCTGGGTCCAGACCTGGCTCCCAACTCCGCAGGTCTCAAGCAGCAGTGCCCACTCCCATTGGCCGTGATGTGCCATCTGGGGTCCCCAGAACACAGAGTTTTACTACAGGACCATTTGGTTACTTTGGGGGGTCCTAGACCTCACAGATCTCCCTGGGTGTCCCCACAGGGCCTGCCAGTGGGCTCCCCTGGCTGCCTCTAAAGCAACAGTCATGTGGGCTACCGAACAACCCCAGGACCCCTCCTGGGCTGCAGCCCGAGGCAGTGCCCCCTGGAGGGACTCTGTAGGCAGCCCCTGTCCCCAGCCTGGTGCCCTGCCTCTCAGTCGGGGCTGGTGGAGGGCAGCTTGAATGGTCACTGCCTTCTCCAGTTGCTGACTTCCTTGTTCCAAACCTGTGTGTCACTCCCACCCCAGGGAGGCCCCTGGATCCGCAGGTAAACCCACCACACCTGCCTACTCACCACTCGGCCAGACTTGCCCAAACAAGCTCGAACTCCAGTTGGGAATTGAGCTGAGGCCACAGGTGGGAACTTCTCTACACCTCCCCCGCCCATAAATGAAAAGTCATATATATATATATATATATATGCCCTCTGTAGGCTTAGAAGACCCTCATTTAGGCTGAAGAGAGAAAGATCATGCCTGACCTGGAATCCCAAAGGACTATACCAGGCTGAATGATGGACCAGCGTCACAATGGAGATTTAAAGCCGAACACCTGCCTGCATAAGAAGAGCACAGAAAGAAGAATCTTGGATAAGCACCTCCAAGATCCCAAACAGTCAGCCACCCAAAGTGCCACTGTGGTTCTGGGCACTTTAACAATGGTCTAACACTCCCAACATGGAAGGTGATAGACAGCCTGCTCAGAGCTTGGCTGCTCAGAACCCCTTGTAACAGAAAGTCAAATGGAAGCATATTCAAAGTTAGGGTCTAGCATGGCAAGAGGATCTGGTTTTAGGTTTTATGAGAAACTCGGTATATTTGGGCAAGGTGTGGGAACCCGGGCTCTGTGTGGGAGAGAGGGAAGCAGTCCTGCTCAGGGAGCTCAGAGAGCTGAGCTAGTGCCAGGAAGAAGAGCGTTCCAGTTCTCTTCAATATCAGGGGTCAGGATCCCACAGAGGTAGTGAGCTCCCCGTCCTCAGAGGTCAGCCAGCATAGGCTGTGCAAATGCCCCTTGAAGAGCACTCGACAATATCTCTGCTGGGTCTGGGTGACCCCTGAGGTGTACCTAATGCAACACTGGGGGTCCTTGAACATGCACACGCACACACACGCACTCACACACGTGTGCCAAGCTGCCCCTTGTTCCACATCTAGGGTCTCTGGTCCCTGGTGGCTCATAGATGTTCCGGTGAGAGAGCCAGGACTGGGTCAGGCTGTGTCCAGCAGGTGTGGCCTGGCTTCATCTTGGCTCCCAGCCCCACCCCCCCGCTCCATCCCAGGCTCTGCCTTGAGACAATGCCCTGGGCTGGCCTTGCCATGGACCCCACCCCGAATCCCAGGCTGTGATGGGGGGATGGACGGAACCCCGACGGAGTAGCCAGGGGAGGGGTCATCATAGCCCACTGGGTGATAGACTCCATGGACCAGGAGGCCCCATGGACCTGAGTCAGAGATGACAGAGTGGGAAGACCCTCGGAGCACCCCCCAGGTCACTACTTCCCGCCGAGGAAGCCAGGCCGGGTGAGCAGGGATTCACCGATGGCCGTCCTCGAGCCATCGTGCGGAAGGCAGGTGTGAGGCCTGAGGGGGTTGAACTGCACCCCCAGTTCTTATGTACAAGTCCTGATGCCAGAAGCTCAGAAGGTGACCTTATTTGGAAGCCCGGGGAGTCGTTATGGATGTAACTAGTTAAAATGACACCGTTAGGGTGGACACCATCCCAAGAGGGCTCGTATTAAAAGGGCAGCTTGGACATCCAGGGAGAATGTCATGTGAACACGGAGCCAGGGATGCAGAGCTCCATCTACCACCCAAGGAACACCCGCCACCACAGTGGCCACCGGAGCCTCGGGGAGGCCTGGGGCAGGTCCTGCCTCGAGAGGACCTGCCTCCATCCAGACCTCCAGCCTCAGGGAGTGTGAGAGAAGGCATGTCCCTGTAGACGCCATGGAGTCTGCTGACCTGTTACAGCAGCCTGGGGGAGGTGACACAGGATCTGTGTGACCAGGGAGCCTCATGTCCCCACCCCCAGGCTCAGTTCCCAGGTTCTCTGTCCTGTCTCACTGGCTTTGGCCTGGGCAGACCTTTCTTCTCCACGACCTCCCTAGTCCCTTTGCACCCCTGCAGTGCCATCTCCACGAGGCTCTCCATCTCCCAGCAATCGTCTTGGTGAGTGTGACTAGTAACGCCCGCTCTATGGAGGACCAAACTGAGGCTGAGGGACCATGGGCTGGGACTGAGGCTGCCGATGCTCAGGCAGGGGCACCAGGCGCAGAGCTCCTGTCGCCACGGCATATCGGTAGAGGCCATGTGATGGAATTCTGGGTACCATGGGGGCACAAGGGGTTCTACCTACAGGGCTTCATTTTGGGGGTCCCTCTGCCTCCTGTTAGTTAATGGGGGCTAGTCTTGCCCTGTCTGAGGACCGTATCAGATGGCTTCAAAATCCTGCTGAATGTTGAGATCTCAGAAACAGGACACGGAGCCCGATGGGTGCTCAGCCAGTGCTAAACCTCTTAGAGGTTTCTAGAAGCACCCCCCAGGCAGGGCAGCGTAAACCAGGAGATGTATTTCAGCCCATGGTGGGAGGGTCTTTCCAGATGGGGACTTGGCCAGTCAGGAGATAAGCGCCCCGTTGCTGGAGGCAAGCAAGTAGTTGCTGTCAGCTCTGCCATGACTAAGGGGGAAATTAGGGTACTTCCAACTTCCTGTCACTCATTCTGTGAGTCTTTGACATTTTAAAAGTGATTTTAAGTACAGGTAAAACTTACGTAACTCAAAAATCCAAAAGTACAAAACTAAATCCAGTAACAGTGAGTCCTTCCTACCCTACACCCCAGCCTATATCCCAGCTTCCCAGCTCTCCTCCTAGAAAACCCTGCGTGACACCATTTCCTGGTCACCTTGCAGAGTGTCTACGCATGCACTCCCAGCATAATTGTTATTTATTTTAAAAACAAATCCACATTTACATTATTTTTATTTATGTTCTGCTTCTTGCTTATTTCACAGAACAATGAGTGTTACACAGCCCGTGACATGGGCCAGCGGGATAATGGGGGCCGGGAGGTGGCTCTGCGTTAGAGCCCTCTTCCATCCCATCTGAGGTCCTGCGTTCTGTCCCCAGTGCAGAAGAAAAAATTCATAATAACAAAATAAATAAATTGTAATGATGCCCACCTCACAGGGCTGCTGGCAGACGAGGTTTCCCTGGCTTGGCACCCAGCAAAGGGCCCAAGAAGGGCCCTATGTCCCTGCACATCACAGAGGGAGCAGGCCTGGCTGTGTGGCTGCTGCAACTCCACAGGCCACCAGGGGGCCCCTTGGTGCCACCTGGTCTTGCTTGTGGCCATTGCACTGTCCAGGGGTGACCAAGGCAGGGAGGCTCCTCAGGGGGAGGGTGGGAGGCAGGGAGGGCACGGCTGGGGCTCACATGTCCTGAAGCGCTGCCCGCCCTGCATGCCTCTGCCATGCTCCATGGTGGGCACGGCTGCTGTACCAACTCCATGAGTCCACAGGGAAACTGAGGCCCAGAGAGGGGGTATGACATAGCTGAGGCCACACAGGCATGAGACGGGACCTGTGGACAGCCCACTCTCAGGGCAGCGGGAAGGGGTGAGAAAGAGAGAGGGCTCGGGAGCTGGGGACAGATGTCAGGTGACATGTGCCACCCTCACCTCACCTGAAAAGTCCTCCTTGGCCATCCATTTTATCATTTTCATTCAGAGAAGACAGAAAGAAGAGACTGTCCCCATAGAGCCATGGTCCACCTCCCCAGCCCACCTGTGACCTCAGCACCTGCTGCCCCAGTTGGCACCTGGGCTCCCTCCCGCTCAGCGTGTTCTCGGACCAGGCCCAGCTCACCCTGACCTCAGCAACGCCTCCTTATCTCTCGCAGTCACCCCTGCTTCCTGGGCTTCACCTCCACGCTCACATCCCCC